CGAACTGTTGAAGTGTACGGGTACAGGCGAACTGTTGAAGTGTACGGGTACAGGCGAACTGTTGAAGTGTACGGGTACAGGCGAACTGTTGAAGTGTACGGGTACAGGCGAACTGTTGAAGTGTACGGGTACAGGCGAACTGTTCAAGTGTACGGGTACAGGTGAACTGTTCATTAACTTACACATTTGTTTGATAATTGTACAGAAGCATCTCTGATTATTCTTGTCCATTGTTTAATTGTGTTTCAGGAAGCCGGTAGAAGGCCTGCTTAGTAAGTACACCAACATGGTGAAGGGTTGGCAGAATCGCTGGTTTGTCCTTAATCCAGTAGCTGGTTTCCTGGAATATTACATGGTGAGAAGTTACACCAATGTTGAGTTTATAAACTAAGAATGGGAAGATTTCATTATAATTTTTGTTTACAGTATGCTTCTGTTGATTACAATGTAAATTTCCACGTTTTACTGTATTCTAATATATATTCATACACATTGTGCAAAAACTTACAAATAAATCATTGTAGACGTAAAGCTCAACAACAGGTGGCTAATCTTAAAAATTTGCATTTAGTGTTGTATATATATATATATATATGTGTGTACTTTAAAATGCTTTTAGCAAGTAAGGTCGTGTTGATAATGTTGAAATGTTTTTGTTATTGGGAACAGGGTTTAACCTTATCCTGACTTGTTCAAAGTACCTCTATAACATCACTCTATATTGATATACTTGGCTATCACCAATTTAAGGGATGACATACAATAAAAGTTTCATTAATAGAATAAATTATAAAGACTGTTTTATTAACATTATGGCTGGCTTTTTTTTATTTGTTGGTCTAAAGTGTGACCAATATATATTATTTGTGAAGCTGAACTTCCCACTTGTGTTGGAAGGTTTAGTTGTATATCTCAGTAAAGTTATAAATGCTACTTTAAATGCTCAAGTAAACTAAGTTTTAAGTGTAATAAAACATATTTAATTTCCAAACGTCAGTCCTATCTTGGCAGTTTTGAATTTCAGAATTTGCTTCTATAAATAATTTTGAATTAGTATCTGTATAATACTTCTCAATTGTATATTATACTAGC